TTCGTGAGTTCAAGCCCTGTGTCAGGCTCTGTGCTGACAGCTCAGAGCCTGGAGCCTGCTTCCGATTCTGTGTCTCCCTCTCTCTCTCTGCCCTTCCCCCACTCACACTCTGTCTCTCTCTTCCTCTCAAAAATAAATAAAAAGCATTAATTAAAAAAAATTAATAAAAAAAACCCCAAAACAAAAAATCTTCTCTTTGCATTTCATGTGGTACGGTCTGTGGAGAAAAATTCTTTCAACTTTTGTCTAAGAATGTTTTTATTTCATCTCCAGTTTTGCAAGATATATTCACTGGATGTAGAATTTCAGAGTTGGCAGGTTTTTTCTTTTAGTACTTAGAGATGTCATGCCATTGTCTTCTGGCCACTATTTTTGATGAGAAGGTAGTTCTCATCCTTATTATTCTTTCCTTATATAAAATATGTGCCTCATCCCACCTTTTGAAGCCTCCATTTGCTTTCAAGATTTTCTGATTTGGTTTGTTGTTTGTTTTCAACTGTTTGACTATAATGTGCCTAAGTGTGGATTTGTTGTTGTTGTTGTTTTTAGATTGTTTGGAGTTTGCTGATCTTGTATCTGTGGGTTGATATCTTTCAACAATTTTGAAAAAATTTCAGCCATTATCTCTTCAAATACTTCTTCAGTCCCTTTCTTTTTTTTCTCTTTCTGGAATCCCAATTATATATATACAATCTGTTATATGTGTGTGAATATTTCCCTCCAGACTATATAATTTGTCTTCCAATCTTATTTACAGTGTTTTTCCCCATTCTGTGCATAAATTTGAATATCTTATATGGATGTCACTGAATAAGAACATTATAACTCTGTACTGGTCTTTTTTTGGCGATTTGGGCATTATGTACAACATGTAAAATTGGGTAGCCTGTAAATGCCATTGTCAACTTTAAAATAGTTTGTCAGTTGAGTTATGAACACATAGCATGCCATGTTGTAATGACATGTTGAAGATAGTTGTAGCTCTAGGTGTTTTTATACATTTTGGGTAACATTAAAAATACTTATTCATTTATATATTAGAGTTCAGCTTAAGTTTTGGTTCAAAAAATTCGCTTTCTAAAATTGTTGCAAAACCACTGATCTAGATGATACTCTGGCAATTGGGTTTTGACTGGTAGTATTTATATGAAAGTCTGTTCTGATTGTTGTTTGGGCTTTAGTTTTGTTTTGTTTTAACTGAAGGAGCACTCTTTTGCTGTTACCTTTCTGTGATAGGAACTTAGTTCAATATTCTCTGTGGCTCACTAGGGACAGACCTGCTCTGAATCTTATACCATTTCTCTGCCTTAAGAAGCTGTCATGGACTCCCAAAGATTTTTTTCTTAGCTCTCCTGCCCATGGAGAGCTCTAGGTATGGCAGAGGACCTTGAGATTAACTTTTTTAAAATTATAAAACTTAAAAAAATGAATTAATATTAAACATAAGGTGGATAAAGCAGAAAACTTCCCAAATGTTAATAAACATTAATGGGCATTTATCAAATGCCCGTGCTAAATTTTGTAGTGTTGGGTACTTAAGTTACTTTTTAGATTGTTTGATTTGGAGCCATGTTATTTATGTAAATTTACTTGTGAAAATAGTATCTGGCTCTGAGTTTATCTGCTTTTTCTTTCTTTAAAGATCAGAGCCAGATTTACTATGGCACAAGTGAAACACAAGCTTCATCCAGGGTCTTTCACTTGAGTGGACCCCCAAGACAGCTGAGTGTTGCTGAGGGTAGTAGAGTGTTCATGGGCAGGGGATCCAGACTGCAACCTGAGAGCACTTCCAAATAAGCATTTCTGCTAAGTTACAAGAGAAAAGAACTAATCTCTAAAGCTCCAGGATTTGTGTGTGTGTGTGTGTGTGTGTGTGTGTGTGTGTGACTTATTTTCTCATTCTAAATTGAAATACACATCAGTCACTAATTTTATAATTAAAAGTTTATATTCTTTTTACAAAGAGGCCTCCTAAACTATATAAGCCTCAAGCTTCACATAGACTCTTATCCACCCCTGGTATTGATGGTATTATTCATTTTTTATATTACATTTTTTTCTGACCATAAAAATATGATTATGGAACAGTATCCTTCATGGTGCCATTGTATGAGTTTAAAAAGTCATCCTCTCAGGGTATCTGAGGGGGCTCAGTTGGTTAAGCGTCTGACTCTTGATCTCAGCTCAGGTCACGATCTCACAGTTCGTGAGATCAAGCCCCGTGTTGGACTGGACTCTGCACTGACAATGTGGAGCCTGCTTGGGATATTCTCTCTCTCTCTCTCTCTCTGCCCCTCTCCCTCTCATTCTCACTCTCTCTCTCTCTCTCAAAATAAATAAATATCCTTAAAAAATTTTAAATTAAAAGTCATCCTCTCTGAACAGAGGCAGTGCATGGGTCCATGACATGGAGTGCTCTGTGGGCTTGGTTCCCTTCTTCAGTGCACAACTGCACAACTGCATGTGGCAACCTGAGGTCCATCAAAGAATTTAGAAAATGCAGAGAAGTTTATAAATGGAAATAAAGATTACTTATAATTCCACCTAAAAATAACTAGATTTCACATTTTGACGTACTATACACACATACATACACACAATTGGCATCACATTGCATATCCAATTTTTTATCACTTTTTTGGCATAGCATTATATATTAAGAATGTTCTCATGAAGTGAAATATTCCTTGAAACACCATTTCTAATTAATTGCATAATAGTTCATCATAGGGCTATTCCTTAATAAATTTTGCATTTTTCTAATACTGGTCATTTGGTTTGGTACCTACTTTTTCTATTATAAATAACATTATGTGGAACATCTCTATGCATACATTTTGATTCGAGGTTCTTAATTTCCTTGTGACAGATTCATGGGAGGTTAATTATGGATCAAATGGTTAAAGCTTTTATTTTAAAGCATTTAAGGCACGTTCTCAAATCATTTTCCTGAGATGTTGTTCAAATACATGGGCTACCATGAGTTCATTCTACTCCATGTCTCCCTGACGTAGTTTTAATAAAGGCAGTGGCACATTATTATTATTATTATTATTATTATTATTAAAGGCAACTGCCCCTTTACTTTCTGTAATCCTCTACAGTGCAGATTTGGTTATGTGGCTCTAGACCAGAAGAACAGCTCACCCAAGACAATGTAATATCTGGCCTAAATTTTGCAAAACTATCTTATTTCTTCACCCTGGAGTGAAGCAGACACTCATGTCTGACAGCATTATAAGTAACTCAGATCAAAGTATTGATCAGGAGTGGATATGTTGTTTTCCAGTGGGAGGATAAGGATGGAGAAGCCAATCTATTATTGCCTCTATCAGCTATCTCACTGAAAAGCGATTGAGCTAATGATACCAACTTATAATTGTCAATTTGTTTTAGCTAGAAAGTAGGCAATAACTCATTGTATTGTCAAGGCATCTGTTAAGAGGATACTGATGAGGATGTCAGTTTCCAAATTTGATGCTCTTCTCCTTTGTGTACATTTTTTAAAAAGAGAAACAAAACCCAATCTTTTCTTAAATGAAAAATGTAGATGGCTCTTCAACCTCTCTTTCTGATCTCCAAGAACATATGTTTTGCCATTTAATTAGAATTCTGTTCTGACTACCTGATCTTTGCTAGTGTAAGAGCTCTGTCTCCTCACCTAGAGTCTATAGAAATAATCAGAAGCTAATCAGTATCCTTGCTTCCACGAAATGAAATCATAAAACTTTAGGGAACCTGAAGAAATCCTTGGAATCCTGTAGTTCAGAGTTGTAAACCTGTAGCCTTTAGGCTGAATCTGACTTATAGCTATATTTAGTTTAGTTTATAGTATTTCTTAAAGTTATTTTTAGGGGCGCCTGGGTGGCGCAGTCGGTTAAGCATCCGAATTCAGCCAGGTCACGATCTCACGTCTGTGAGTTCGAGCCCCGCGTCAGGCTCTGGGCTGATGGCTCAGAGCCTGGAGCCTGTTTCCGATTCTGTGTCTCCCTCTCTCTCTGCCCCTCCCCCGTTCATGCTCTGTCTCTCTCTGTCCCAAAAAATAAATAAACGTTGAAAAAAAAATAAAATAAAGTTATTTTTATTTAGTTTTATTAATTAATTAATTAATTTATTTATTTATTTATTTGATATACCAAATTGTTACACCTTTATTTTAATTGCTTTAGAAAATAGCCGTTGTATCAAGCATGGTAACTTGGCTGCCAACATAGTTATTCCCAACAGTCATAGTAATACAAAAATCTGCCAAAAAAACAAGAGTCCAGGGCCAGATGGCTTTCCAGGGGAATTCTACCAAACATTTAAGGAAGAATTAACACCTATTCTCTTGAAACTGTTCCAAAAAATAGAAATGGAAGGAAAACCTCCAAACTCTTTCTATGAAGCCAGCATTACCTTGATTCCAAAACCAGAGACCCCACTAAAAAGGAGAACTATAGACCAATTTCCCTGGTGAACATGGATGCAAAAATCCTCAACAAGGTATTAGCCAACCTGATCCAATAATACATTAAAAAAATTATTCACTGCGACCAAGTGGGATTTATACCTGGGATGCAGGGCTGGTTCAATATCCGCAAAAAAATTAACATGATTCATCATATCAGTAAAAGAAAGGACAAGAACCATATGATCCTCTCAATAGTTTTTATTTATTTTGAGAGAGAGAGAAGGAAAGAGAGAGAGGAAGAGAGAGAGAAAGAGCGGGAGAGGGGCAGAGAAAGAGGGAGAGAGAGAAAATCCCAAACAGGCTCTCTGTTGTTAGCGTGGAGCCCACTGAGGGGCTCAGTCTCATGAACCATGAGGTCATGACCTGAGCTGAAATCAAGACTCAGCCGCTTAACCGACTGAGCCACCCAGGTGCCCCATTTATAGTATTTTTATATCTTAGGAATAATTATGGCTAATATGTATTAAGCTCTTATCCCTTCACATATGTTGTGTTATTTAATCCTGACAATTATTTTATGAGTATTATTATTGTCTTTATTTTACAGGTGATAAAACCAAGAACTAGTGATTTTAAGGAACTTGCCAAATATTGGAATCAGTAAGAGGTAAACCTGGGGTCTGAACTCAGAAAGCATAGTTCCAGAACCTACTTTCCTAACTGCTACAAGGAAGGAATTGCCAACATTAAAAAAAAAAAAAAAAAAGTCAAGCGATTTCATGGAATCATGGGATTCATGCCCTCTCTTGAACAGTTGTAACATATGGTGAGTGTCCACTGGAGGTGAAGAGTATTCTCCCCTTTTGATTGGATACATTTTCTCAAATTTGCCTTTCTTTAATCTAGCCTAGTTCTCTCATTTGTATAATAGCTTGACCTTTGTCTGCATTTATTACCCCTGATCTAATTCAGTTGTTCTCAGCTGGGGTGATTTTGCCTCCCCACCGCAGGGGACATTAGGCAATGTCTGAAGATATATTTGATGGTCCTAACTGGGGTGGACTGGGGATGGGGGTGCTACTGGTGTCTAGTGGGTAAATGTCAGGCACGCTGCCAAACACCTAAAGAATTATGTGTTCCAAAATGCTGAGGTTGGGTGACACCCATTGGATTTAACATCCCCATTTCATAGGTGGGAAAAAAGACTAGAAAGGACATGAATTGCTCCAGATCCCAAAGCAAGTCAAAGTCAAGGGTGGGAGGGTCCACATATCTCACTTCTCCCTGACCATTTCCAGGTTATAAGCTTTGCAGGCCTTGAACAGAGATTTTTTTTAAATTTTTTTTAACGTCTTATTTATTTTTGAGACAGAGAGAGACAGAGCATGAGCGAGGGAGGGGCAGAGAGAGGGAGACACAGAATCGGAAACAGGCTCCAGGCTCCGAGCCATCAGCCCAGAGCCCGAGGCGGGGCTCGAACTCACGGACAGCGAGATCGTGACCTGAGCCGAAGTCGGACGCCCAACCGACTGAGCCACCCAGGCGCCCCGAACAGAGATTTTTATAAATGGTATCTTTCTAGTTTGCTTTGTTAAAATGAGAAAAAGAGAACTAAATATTACAATTGTTGTGAAAAATCTTCATTGTCTATCTATTGAATGGAAGATTTGCTAATTAAGAATCCTCTAATTAGCTTTACATGAAAAATGGTATGCTTTCAAAGTAGCTGGCAGGATCCAACTATAAATCACACCCTTTTCAAAGAATCTCTAATATGTATTTATTACATAACAGGCACATGTTGTCTGGGAATATTGCTTTTTCTTCATAAAGTGTGCAGTTTACAAGGAAGAGGAGAGACACTACTTTCAGTTTTGATTCAGTTAATGACCAGGAAATTCACAGTAAATCTCTAAACTATATCCCTTTATTGTGGGTTTTTATGATTTTGTAGTCAGGTGAGATAAGGTGGTAGTCTCAGCTCCAACCTCTATACTCCTTTGCTTTGCATAGATTCTGTTCAGACTGTTGCTATAGTTCAACATACATGTTTTAGGTTGAATATTTCTGAGACTTCCTGAAGACCTGAAATGGATTACATAGACCAGTTACCTTCATTATTTGCCTCTTTACTCAAAGGGCAAGAGAGAAGACAGAGCTGGGAATTTAAACACATATGAAGGATATAATCATAGCTAAAATTTCCTACCTGGCAGGCACTGTCAGAAGTGCTTAGTGTGGACTATCTTATTTAATCTCATTTTACCAGTGTTTCCTGCACGATACTCTATTGATATACGCGATGAAAAATATATATCTTACATAATCAAAACTCCAAGGTAGGAGAGCTCTGGGGTTGGTTGATTTGGTGACTTAACAGTGCCTTCAAGGACTCAAGTTCTTTCCATCATTCTAGACTCTCCTTTTCAGGGTGGTTGGAATAGTTCTCAGGGGAGGTAGCCAGAGGTAGCAACATGGCTGTTGTAGTTCTGGCCATCACATTATTACTTTGTGTGTGTGTGTGTGTGTGTGTCTCTTTTTTTAATTCAGTGCAGAAACCTTTCCAGAGCCCTCCTGCATACATCCCTTTGCACCGGATTGGCTGCAATTATGTCATTTGTCCATTCCTTAGTTGCTCACTGTCAAGGGGAATGGAGTTACCATATGGGTATAGTGAAACACTGGACTGTGAGGAGGAGGGTTAGCTGAACAAGATCCGGGTTCTATTAACAGAAAGAAAGGAGATGACTGACAGGTAGGAAACCACAGGGTCTCTTACAACCATTTTGAGCTGGGTTGAGTTTCTGTTGCTGCTGCCTTAACACTGGGTATGATAGCAGCCCTTTTCTAAGCAAGTGGGTTGAAATCCACGCGGTAGAATTACCCAGTTCAAACTTTTAGGAGCCCAGGTCAAGCTAGTGCAAGCAGAGACAGGGCTGAAAGGGTGCGCTGCCCTGCCCTACTGGCAGGCCTAGGAACCAGACCCCTACACGCTGGTTTGTCACCAGGCAGGCAGTCCCAGGAGCTCCTCTCTCTGCCCAGTGGTGAAGAGCAAGCTCTGGCTCTACAAGCTGACACCAAGAAAACCAAACTCATACTCACCATCAGCCTATAAGCTTTCCCTCTCAAAACCAAGGAAAGGCCTGGGTCTTTCTCACTCACTCTGGTGCCACGTTTTCTCCTTTGAGACTTGCCTTGAGGTTCATTTTCAACTGATTTCATCCAGATTAACACTGGTGAGGAATCCATTAATGAATGCTCCTATGCTTCATGGTTGTTTCCTTCTACTATGATAGTCCAGACCTCTGGACAGCAAATCAGTATTTATGTTGGCTCTATATCGACACTAGAGTCTGAGTCTGAATCCTAACTCCAGCAACTGCTAGTGGGGGATCTGGTGAGTTACTTGATTTCTCTAAACCCTAGATAATGATGGTAATGACATCTCTCTCTCAAGGTGCAGATTAAATGAAAATATGCACACAAAATGTTTAGAACAATGCCTGACACATAGTAGGACTCAATGAATAGTAACTATTAATATTATTAGTTAGGAAATAGGCACAAAGTTCTGGAGTGTTCCATAGCTGACCAATTAGTAACACTGCAGTGTCAAAATCTAGAATCAGACAAATAGGTTTCTTCTACTTTTGGGTGATCCTCTAGGCCTAAGTTTTATCCCTTAAAAAAATGTCCTGTAAATGTAAAACAAGACTGTTGTGAGAATTTAATAAAATAGTACACCCTGTGTTTAATTAAATACAACTATTAATACATATTCCAATTCTCAGAGACAATGTGTCTTTGCTCTGTCAAGACTCGGTGTATCCATATTCCATGAGCTCTTCTGATTTGGGTTTTTTTTCCCTCTGCCTCCCTGCTAGTGTCATCGGAGCCCTCTCCCAGCCTCCAGCAATTGTGGAAGTTTATTTAAACTTCGGATTTACAAACTGGCTGTCCTCCCCCATTCTTCAAAGCCCTGGGCCTAATTGGAATGCAAATGTCTCCCCTGGTAGCTGAGCATTGCTTCTGTCACTCCGGGAAGGCCCTTGGCCATCCAGGGCTGGATGGGAGGCAAAACGTACCCCACCCCCGGGGTTTTCCATCTTTGTGGGGAGAAAATGATGATGATGTATGAGACAGTGATGCTTTGGAGTCCAAGGAAGACATGACAGACGGGATAATATGGGAGGAAAATACTGTCTTCGTAATGGAGACTGATGGCCTTTGCTTGTCTTCCTGGCATTGTTAGGACTGGGACTGAGCCGGGCCTTCCTCATGCAGTGGCAGGTTGGGTATGTCGTCCATGATGCCCTCAGTGGTAGTCTTCAACCAAGGGGTGGGGGATGGGAGAAGCAAACAGAGGGGGTTTGTGGGGGTGTTGAGCGCAGGCCTCAACCCCCCTTCGCTTTGACATGTATGTTTGTCAGGAATGACAGGCCTCTCTGGATCTGTTCATAACTGCTGGCTTTGGGGTCTTTTACCTTCCACCCACTCTGCCTCCCCAAACCCCCAATAAAAAACAACTATGTTAAGCTAAAAACTCTTAAAAAGAAAAGGCCCCAGATCCCTACCAAACCACTCCTACTCCCCCTTCAGGCCCCTACTTGGCTGCAGGAAAGAAAGCCTAAAACTAGAGTAGGAATGTCATCTTTAGAAATCATCTTTTGGAGCAGTTTTATTAATTTCACTTCTCTGTGGTTACCACATGTTTGGGGAAGACAATTGGTTTCACAGATCTGTGTGGGAGGCTGAAGATTTGGCTCTGAGGCGGCAGAGAAAACCTACCACGAGAACAGGCTCACTAATTGACATACAGCAAAGATGTTCTTTAAGGAAACTTTTCTCCTACTGCCTGCTTTTTTTTAATCTAATTTTTAATTTTTAAGTTAATTGTATTTTTTAAAAGAGAGGCTCTATTTTTATTTTGCCTCTACTCATCCATTTCCCACCCCGATTCCCTCCCCACAATTTCCATTCCAGAAATGAAAAGGAAGACTGGACCAAGTATTAAGTCACAATTTTCACTTCAAAGTCGCTGCCAGTGGCTACCAATCCAAGGCCAGGGCTTCAAAAGAAATGAGTCCTTGCCTCCTGGGCTCCCATCTCTGACACCTCCAGCTGAGACGTTTCTGACCGGAGCATGGTCCTGGCAAGGTACTGAGAAGCAGGTGATTCCGGGCCATGCGTGAGCCCTCTTGTACTTGGGAGATGTCTGTTCACAGTTACTGAGGGCACTGTTGCTGGACCTCCCTGGTATATTTTTTGAGATGTCAGGTTTTTTGAGATGTCAGCTTGAATGACTGCATCATCCAGATAGAAATCAGTTCTGATTCTAAATAAATAATAGGCCAAGCTGAAAAAAAAAACAAAACTCAATTGTTTGATCTGGGGGTGGTGGTGGGTGAGTAGCTGCTGTTTTAGAACTTTGAATGTGGGTCCCTTGGCATTAGCTTTATTTAAAACAGAGTAGTAGCTCTTCACGCTCTCTGAAAAGTTAATAGCCCACCTTAAAGGAGATGGTAGCCCCGCAGCGCTTTTACGTTGCTAATTATACTGCCCTAGTGGGAGGAGGAGTACATGGCACTTTGGAGAACTCCCAGAAGACAGGGTTCCTCCCCAGCAGCTTCCATGATGACTTGAGATGGGTAAGAGGTTTACCAGCAGATGTTTGAGAACTTGACGTGAAATAGACAGGAGTGACAACAGGGACTTCCATCTTTGCCCAAACATTCAAGAGATCCCTCAACTGGTTCCCCAGGTGTGGTCGGAAGCAACCATGGTCACTTTTCCTTTACCTCTGTTCTTTCATTTGCTCCATCCTCTACTTCTTTGTGCCATGTAATCAGGTCCAGAGTGAGCTGGGAGGGGTTAGTCCCCAGTGTCTCCATTCTGCTACAAAGTTTCCCCGACTATCATGAAAGTGAGCAGTGTGGCTGAGCCAGTCACTTGTGTGAATCCCGAAGAACTGGCTTGGTGAAGTTATGGCAAGGCAGGGAGGTGCTCTAGAGGTCCTGGTGTGGGTGGGAGGCTGGTCCAAGTGCAGACCATGACAAGAAAGCTGCCATGGAGCCCTTCTAGAGCTCCTGGGGTGAGGAATTGAATCTTAGCTCTGTTGTTTTTGTGACCTTGGCTGAGATCAAAACCCTCCCCAGAAAAATGGGAGTTATAGCATATCAGCCTGCCAAAGAGGGGTATTATTTCAAACGCGAAAGCATTACGTTAAAAAAAAAAAAAAGTGAGACCCAGGGGAAGGAAGGAAAAAGGGGGCCGTGAGTGGAGAGGAAGTGACACGTTTCGTGAAATCGGAGCTTTTTAAGGTTGTTTTGGGCACAGTTTCAAGAGGAAGTGCCGGTTTATTAAGACAAACAATTGCTAATCTAATCTCTATCAAGAGACATATTTAAGTTCAAGCACATTTTTTTTTTTTTTTTTTTGCCTCTTCTGGATTCTGGATTTTCAATTGAATGCTGGAATATGAGTGTAAATCCAATGGAAGCAAAACAATTTACGGAAGAACCATTTCTGATTTCTGTTACATGTATGAAGTTGGAGAAAATTGATCAGCAATCCAGAATGATTTGATTTTTTGGACTTCTGCCTCAAGCCCCCTTTCCTAATTAAGTAATTAATCTTCCTTTAATGAAGACTTCCTCCTTTGAAGGTTCCCCAGACCCCTGTTCTTGTCAGCCTGCCCTCTTCCAGACTCTGAGGCCCCTCAGGCACACGTACGTCATGACCACATCGCCAGGCTCCAAAGGCCTGATTACTTGCCTGCTTTCTCTACTAAACTGGCTTCTTGAAGAGTAAAAACACCTAGCCCATGTTAAATGCTCAATAAACATTAGGTCAATGTTGAATATGGTTGGGATATAGAGAAATAAGGATCATCTCTTTATTAGTTTTGTATTGCCATGTAACAAATTACCACAAATCGAGTGGCTTAAAACAACACACATTTATTAACACAGTTTAATTCACTAACGCAGTTTCCCTGCATCAGGAGTCAGGGCACAGCTTAGGTGAGTCCTCTGCTCAAGGTCTCAGAAGGGCTGCAATCAGGCGTTGACCTGGGCTGCAGTCTCACCTGGGGGCTCTGAGGGATGATCTGTTTCCAAGCTCATTGAGGTTTTGTTAAGAATTCATTTCCTTGTGGTTGACTGATGTGGTCCCTGCTTCTTTCTTACTGGCTGTTGGCTGGAAGCCACCCTTAGGTCCTAGAAGCCACCATCAATTTACAACATGGATGTTTGCATCTTGAAGGCTGGCAGGAGAATCTTTCTCACTGTAACTGGCTAGGATGGAATCCACATAGCATAACATAATTAAAGGAGTGACATCTCCTCACCCTTGCCTACTCTATTAGCTAAAAGTGATTCCCAGGTCTTGCTTACACTCAGGAGATGGGATTATTCAGGGTATAAACCAGGGGAGGGGGCAAGCTCAGGGTCTATCTACCTCAATCTCTATGTATAAATAATTCCACTAGGACAAGAACTTTCATTGCAAAAAAAACTACAAAAAACAAAACAAAACAAAAACTTGTTTCTTTTCTTTGAGGCTTGCGGGAGAATAGCTTACTATTTCTAGTATGTGCTCTATTATTTGAATCAGTTTCTATATTTTGTAGTTGCTTGTCCAGAAAACACAGTGATCTGATATTTATCAAATAACATGCTATATAAAAGTCTTTGTGTTAATTATTCAACTATTGGTTCTCAGCTCCAAGTCCCTGTGACAATGGGACTCTGCAAACTGTATTTCCCCTTTGTTAGCTGGCTTCCTGTTAGGTTCTTCTGATAAGGGGAAGAGGGGAGGAACAGGAGAGGAGACTTGTTCCTTCCTATTTGGCTGCTCATGCTGGCATCTCCCCTTCACCCAGCAGTGACAGTTGGTTCTGGTTCAGCTTCTTCCAGCACTTCTAGAGCCAGCCTCAGTATACTCCTCAGAGAGCAGTACTAGCTGGGTGGTATTCCCTTCATGGAGGTCTGAGCCCAGCCCCATGGGATCTTTCTCTAAGCTTGTAGGTTCTGATCACTCCATTCTTCTCTCTTCATTCTCCTTAGTGCTGGTGGCAATTGCCTGCAGTTATTACCTTGGTGTTAGTTCAGTGTTTTCATTTTGCTTTTTCGGTTCTCCAACACATATTTAACCAAACCCCTATATTATATTCTCTCTGTTAAAATACCTAGCATGGTTTGTTTTTCTGACTGGCCCTGATATATACAGTATCATAATTTTCATCCAAGTTGCCAAGACATTATAGGGTTTCAATAACTGCTATTGGAATTTTATATGCCAAAGGAACTGACATTTAACAAAGAATTGAAACTCACCCTCTGGTTCCCAAGTTGATGCTTTTAGAATGTTGGGGCCATAGTTGACTTTGCCAGTCTGTATAAGGCTTCCTGGCTAACTAGTAAGAGATATAAATAGGCTCATGGGGGGTGATTCATTTATTTCCCAAACTATAGTGAATCATGACTAGAGAGAATCCAGCCTCTGAGAAGCCCAGACTTAGAAATTAGTAAAGCTATTTGTGTGAAGTTATGGAATATACTCAGATATCCCTATTTCGCAGATGAGGAAACAGAGTAATTTCCATGCAAGGCCTTCTTGCCAGTAGAAGGCTTCAAGTCAGGCACTATAGTTACAAATGTCTTCTCACCTGGACCCTAGTGAACTGATTTCTCTTCCTGTGTCCCCTAACTTTTTAAATGACATCTGTACCCATGTTCAAAATCTATGAATTACTAAAAGATGACTCTGTCTGACTTTCTCTCTTAAATTAGGTCTGCTGATCTTACTCCATAATGTCTCCTTCATTTGTGTTCTATAGTCTCTGAGTTTTGTTAGGCCCTCTTTATCTCTTGCCCACGCTATTAAAATAGCCTTGTCATTAGTCTTTCTGCTGTTATCTATTTGGTCCACTCCTACCAGAAAAACATATCTCAAATAGAACTCATAATATTGCTTCTTTCCTCAGAATGCCCTACAGGGTAACAGTCAAATATCTCAGGTGGAAAGGTAAACTTCCTTCAAAATTTGTTCTCAACCTCTGTCCTGCTTCTCTCTTTTAGGTGTTCTTAATGCCAGCCAGACCTGTCCACAGCCACTAGAGCCTGGCCTACACTCCTGCTGAACCTGGCTTTCCCCCTGCTGCAGCTCACATACCCCCTTATCATGGACTCCTCCTCCCCAACCCTATCTCCTCTCCCTAGAGACACTCTCACGTTCCACTTCCTCCACTCAGCCTTCCTTTAATTCTCCTAACTGAAGAACCTCTTCTTTTTACTTTCTGAAATGACCATGTAAGTCACATGTAGATGGTGATGATAACTATAGGAGCAATACAGCTAAGCTAACACCTGACGATGGTCTATTCTGCTCCCCAGCACTGTATACACTCTTAACCCACATTATCTTATTTAACTCTCATGGAGCTCCTATGAAATATGAACTTTTATTTGTATTGCTGAGTAAGCCGCCTTAGTAAGGTTGCATAAATTGTTCAAAATCTCATAGCTCATTTTATGTCTTATGTAAATTATTTGTATTCTCTTTTATTTATCCTCCAAATGGATAATTGAGATCAGGGAGCATTCTTTGTTCAGCTGTGACCCCTATTCTAAGCCTATGGAGTATCTTGTGCATGGTGGGCAGTAAATCACCAATTTGCTGAAGAGTCTCAGAATTCACGACTTTTGCCACCAAATTGGTCATGTTTTTTGGTGCTGAATTTTATTTTATTTAAAAATTTTTTCTTGTTATCTATCAAGCATACACCTGTGTTCCATGTAATGTAAGTCGAGATGGGGAGCAAAAAAGTGTTTCTAAGAAGTTTGGAATAAATTGATTCCTGTTTTCCTTCTGTTATAGTTTGAGAGAGGGTCTGTCTTTATTTGAGAGGGATCCTGAAGTCTCTGCTTCAGGAAGTTACAAACAAATTTAGGAGCACTTTCAATTTGTAAAGAAACTGCTCAAAATGCAAAGAATCCTTCTGAGTGTCTGCTGGTGATCCCTTTGTTTTCAAAGTTTGCATTTTTGCTTATTGGCATATATTTTTTAAAGCAGGGCATTGCCTGACCCAATGTGGGAGGCACATCCCTTTGGAAAAACTGAATGTCGCTGGGCTTGGGGTAGGAATCATTCAAAAGCTACTCAAATGATTTATTAAACAGAAAGTCAGGAGCATAGATTCAAGGTCACGAGTTAGAACTGTGGGGTTGAGAAGGAGCTCAATTTTCTTGGAAATAATAAGGCTGACCTTTTAGGAGGGTAGCTTTGGGGAGACGGTTGTATAGAGAAGTCCTCAAGATTCACATGCAGAGGGACACAATTTTGGTAAATGCATTCAGCTGCCTTTTGCTCTGATTTCTGAGCTGCTGGTGCTCCTGGATTTGAGATGGCTTTCAGAGAACCAGAGGCTCCTTATGCAGCCCCACATCTAGGTGGCCATTTCATATTCTTGTGAGGGGCCCAGGGGACAGAGATGGAAGTGTCTGAGGTGTGGGGGAAGAGTGAGGAAGGTCAGGAAAGAGGCTAGGATAACCAGATTGCTTATCAAACAAGTGGAATAGACATGGAGGGGAAATGGTCATTCAGCGTTTCTCTTTCTCTTTTCTGGGCACCTTGTCCAGGAGCCACTCCTCTAACCCTTGATGAGGGATGGTCACTAAAGTATCCCCACTTTGCACATAGAGGCACCATAAATGGCCTGCCCGTGGTGGGACCGGATTTGCAGCATTTCCTGCACTGAGCATGAAGTCCTATTACTTTCTCTGCACTGTTCTGGCTTTGGTTAGGGTTGTTCTGGGTCATAGGTAAGCCAGAGATACCAGGCCACCATGGGGTTGTGCCCTCCTTGAAAGCATTACGATGCTGGATGCCTTGACTGGCTCTAGCCCCCTGGGCTGCGTGTACACAGGCATTGGACCGTGCATTGACACACTCTTCGGCCTGGACCCACAGCTGTGCAGACCTGGGCCTGCGGAAGCCATGGATGTTGCTCTGCTGGCCAACACTGGCAAGGAGACCTGAGCCCTTCTATTGTCGGCCCCACAGACAGGCTGAGCAGGCAGTCTAGGGAGACGCATTGTGATTCAGAGGATACTGAAAGGTGGCACAACCATATATGTCGTAAACATGGATCACTTATAAGCATGGAAAGGGGCACTAATTAATAATTATGTTGGGGCCACAAGCAAAAAAATGGAGTTGAATCTGGAAAACCTGGAATCACTGTACCTAAAGGTACCTTGGTCTCAATTCAACTTAATATTTCTTAAGCATCTCTGCACCAGTCATCATCCCCTTTCACAACTGGGCATGGACCTGTCAACAAGTAATGCCAGGATAGAAGATTAGATGCAATTGTGGAAGTGGGGAGAAACCAAAAGGCAACAAAAGGAGGGAAAGTTTACTCTCTGGGCAGGGGTGGGAAGGGGGCACAGGGAAGATGTTAATGCAAGGAGTTTTCAAAGACATGTTTTGGAGGCATATGGATGGCAGAAGGGGGTTCTAGAAAGGGAGAACAGCAAGTGCAAAGTCACAGATACTTGAAAGCACAGAGCACATTTGAAGGATTGTAAGAAAATGGAGAGTAAAGTGGGAAGTGGGAGTGACAGGAGATAAAGCTAAATGGAAGCCAGGTCACAAGCCGCCCGTAGGCCAGGCCGGACAGCTTGGACATGCTTGGAACAGGATTGGCAATTGTGGCCCATGGGCTAAATCTAGTCTGCCCTTTGTTTTTGTAAACCAAGTTTTATTAGACTTCAACCAAGCTCATTCATTATGTGTCATATAAGGCTGCTTTCACACTACAACAGCAGAGTTGAGTTGCAACAGACTACATGGCCCGCCAAACCTAAAATACCTGCTCTCTCTGGGGCACCTGGGTGGCTCAGTCAGTTGAGCATCTGACTTCAGCTCAGGTCATGATCTCGCAGTTCATGAGTTCAAGCCCCGCATTGGGCTCACTGCCATCAACCTGTCAGCGCAGAGCCCGTTATGGATCCTCTGTCCCCCTCTCTCTCTGCCCCTACCCCACTTATGCTCTTTCTCTGTCTCTCTCTCAAAAAAAAAAAAAAAAAAAACAAACAAATAAAACATTAAAAAAATATGTATCTGCTCTTTCTTTACAGAGAAAGTTTGGCGACCCCTAGCTGAGCCATGATGGACCACTGAAGGACTTTAAGTAATAACATAATAGCTCTGATTTAGAAAGATTTCATGGGGTATGAGGGAGGATAGATGGGTGGGAGAGTAAGGGTAGGAGGCTATTGTGATAGGCTTGTGAGTAGCATTCAGTCTTATGAAGGAACCACCGTATGCCAGACACAGTGCTAGGCTGGGAATTCACAGAGAGGACACAATCCACTCCTCATGCCCATCACAAACCAGACAAGAAAAGGTAAGGGCTTGGACCAAGGCAGTATAAATGATGATGGATATGAGAGGGTGAACCAGAGAGAGGTTTAGAGAGTTGGAGCAAAAAATGTTAGGGCTCTGGGTTTGGGATGAGGTGGTTGGTTGTGACCTTCTCTGAAATGGGGACACTTGAGGAGAAGCAGGTTTACTTCTACTTAGCTCTCTTATGGCCTCCTTGAACTCACTATATTTGTCCTATTAGATAAAATTCTTAACAGCTTTCTAGAGGCATAGATGTTTTAAGTGGGTTCAGATTTATCTGATACTGACACTTGAACAAGAATTCATTTACCAGAATGTACACCATCTTAATTCATGTTCATTTAGAAAAGAGCTAATCCCTGACCAAATTTGGAGGAAGAGGTCCTATATGGTCTCATGGGAAGTCTATGCTACAAGTGCTCCCCTGAGCCAACAGGGGAGGACTGACTTCCTCATGCTGGTAACACCAGTGCCAGATTGACTTCTAGAGCATAGTAGGTGCTCAGTGAATGTGCACTGGATGAAAATTTGAGGTTGGATCACTTAGGGTCCTAGCAAAAAAGACGGTAAACTCAAGATAGTAGGCTTCAATTGAAGCCTGTTTTGTGGAGGGTATCTACAGAGGTGGGAGCAGGTGCGTGGAAGCATCGGGGATAGTGATGCAACTGAAGACTAGCAACAACGGAAACTGACCTAAAGGGGAAGGAAAGGTGTCACCAAACCAGTGTGAGTCATAGCCATAAAAGAGAGGTGCCATTCAGAGACAGCTGAGATTAGCTGGGGCTGCAAGGAATTTCAGCCACTGAGGAAACTATAACTTGTCATGGAGTTGAGGGGGGTAGGCACAGAAGGGGAGGAGAGGCGAATCAGCCTTCAGCCCCTCACTCCTCCTTCTGATCTGCTGATGTCTCCCACTGGCTGAACCCAGTCAGGAGGCTGGGAGCAGGGGAGCCACAATAACACAATGGGTAGTGGCCATCCTCCCAGCACAAACAGCCGGGAAGAGAAGAGCCTCTCTCATTTCTTTTAGTTTTTGGGGAAGTTGGGCCTGGTCACACTTGTACTATTGAATTGTAGTATGGAATTGTTAGTAGCAATATTGAAGTACTTGGACAAACATGTCATTATTTAGCAAAATAAATACTTATTGTTCATATATTTTTGTAAATAGTTCTGGCACACCTAGCAAGTGCCAGGTGCTTTACTGACTCACAAACAGAGATGACAGACAGTGCCGGATGGATCATCCTTGTACACAGGGCTTTCTGCATATTCTAGTAGCATAGATCCCTGGCAGTGGGGTCCTGGGCCAAGGGGAATTCACAGTTTATACTCTGACAGACCTGACAAATCACCTCTCTGATAAAGCCACTGTATACTCTAGGGGCATTTGAGCATATGTCCACTTGACCACATTGTCTCCTTGGTCACTGGTGAGGTGAAGAATTTTTTTTTTCCATATTTTTATCAGTCCTTTGTAATTTTTCTTTGGTGAAACATAGTGGTTTAGAGCTTAGTGCTTGAAACCAGGCTGCTATGTGGATTCAAACCCTATCTTTGTCGCTATTGGCTGTGTGAACTTAGGCAAGTTATTTAACCCCTTGCCCCCCCCCCTTCATGTGTGAAATGAGGATAATGATGTTATCTACCCTTTGGGGTTTTAGAGATTGTTAAGTGCCTGGCGCATAGTGAGCTTGATGTAAGAATTAGCTGTCATGATATTTGCTCACATCTTTTGCCCATTTTTCTCTCCCAGCGATATTGATGTGTGACCAGGGCTAAGGGCCGCCGGATAGAAGACAGGCCATTTCTGTAGCTCTCGTCCAATTTCTGAAATGGTCTGCTATCCCTGTAACGTGACTGTGCACTGACACGGTAACACTTCACTTTCCTACCTGGACGATAGCCAAGGGCGCATTTTGAGCAGGCAGAGGGTCATCTGAGTGTGTTGGTTCTTCTGATGTCTTTGGGGTCCTGGTCATTGGGATTTGACTGAGGTTCCCCCAGAGTCACTTTGGTACCAGGGAAGGACGGCCAGTTCCTGCAGGCCCACAGAGGCCTCTGAGCTCGGCCAGTCTTTTCGCAGGCAGCCACCAGGTGGAACCGCTTCAGAGCTTGGGGCCTGCAGGAGTCCAGGTGCTCTGAGGCTCACTTGCAGAGGCTGAGGGCTGTGGTTGTGGCTGCGAGCTATTGCTGCCTTTGGGGAGATCACACGCCCACAAGGGGAATGCCTCAGGTTGCTGAAAAAAAAAATTGAAGGAGGAAGAGAAGAGCCGCTTCCTTTACAGGCCAGCCTCTCAGTTACGCAACTCTGACTGTACATTTTCAGACTTTCCATACAAGTGAAGGTCACCTGAAGAGAGATTGAAAAGTTTGTATCATAGTCACAGGAAAGTTTAAAGGTGTGAGTGTTTGTAGAGTCCTACTGAGGCTTCCACAGGCGACAGAGGGAAGTCACCGTCAAGTC